AAAAAAAAAAAAAAAAAAGAGTAAAAATGATGTAATATAAATGATGTTGAAGGAAAAAAAAAGGACCAAAGGGAGAAAACTAGGAAAGGGGGAAAGAATAATTAAGGAAAGTCAAAGAACAATGTAACCCGTTTCGAGACACATCATAAATAAGCCCAAAAATCCAAAAAAAAAAAAAATTTATAAATACGACATTTATTGAATATTACTACCGAAATAAAAAAACAACAGCAGTTGAAATAAGGAAAGGACGCCGGAAATAAACAAATCTTCAAGTCTAATGTCAAAAAAATCAAGTTTGTACAACGTCTAGAAATAATCAGATCAATATTGATTAAGTTAGACACTAACGTTAACATAACGTTACACTTTAACACTTTTTACTTTAAGTTTCGTCCACACTTCATACAATATAAGAGATCAAAGCTGATTGGTTTATAAAAGATTTCCTAAATTGTACAGTTTACAACATTGTTAAATAAACATTATGTTATAATTTATTGTATTAAGAAAAAATGTTTCCAATAGATTTGAAAAAAATTGCGGGGCGCACCGTATATATATAAATGACATCTGGAGGCGTAAATATTAATCCGTTAACATACGCATTCCCCGGATATTTTTATATTGATAATTTTCAGGGGTAACATCCACTTTTTTTTTTAAAAAAAAAATAATTAATCTTTTTTTTGTCTTCAGGGTTCGGTCAAAAAAAAAATTTATATTGTATAAATAAATAAATTGTCTTTTTTTTTTAAAAAAAAAACTTTTTGTTTGTGTTCAATATTTGTTGTTCATAATATATGTTTGATCTACGTTGAATTTGCTTACACTATTTTTCAAATTTGTAGATTTCGGTTACCGCTTTCACATTGACTAAATTAGGGTCAATTTTCTAATTTTTATATAAATTCTAATTACCAATTACGATATTTTTTGATAAATATTTTCCTTTTAAATTACGAATGATAATAAAATGCATAAAAATGTCCTAAGAATATTCTATAAATAAAATGTATGACCACGAGATTTTAAAATTTAAATTATTTTTGTTTTAGTAAATAAAAATTTACCTAGCACTTGGATTTATTTGTTTAATAAATAAATTTAGATTGGTAGATAATGTAATGGTAATATTTATTATATAAAATATATATCAATATTTACTTGTAATCGAAGGCTTAAGTAAACTATATCTGATATAAGCCAAAGCGGATAGCGAAGCAAAACGTGAGTTGCCACGCAGCAATTATTAATTGTTCCACGACATCTATTCCCAAATTTGTGTAATGTTTAAAAAACCTGATTTTATAAATGCCAATTTAAATTTATTTGTTTCACTTTCATTTAACCATTGAATGTTAAACTATTTTTAAATTTTTTTCTCTCTTTAAGAATAATACCGGAACGAATAATAATCAATGTCGGATTTATACGATAACGTACCAGGTGGCTCTTTAAAGCTTAAAGGAGGCTCTGGAATTACAAATAAAATAAAAAAGTATTTGTTTTATACACATTCTGTTCTTTAGATCTATTGATCTAAATTAATAATTTTTATTTTGTATTTTATTAGAAAAAAGAAGAAAACGAAAAAAGATAAAGAAAAACTTAAATCTTATGCTAAAGATTTAATCAGTGATGATTCTGCATCATCAGAAAAGATTAATCCTATTCGGGTCGTTACTAAAACTGAAGCTGAATTAAAGTTTGAAGAAATTCAGAGAAAGAGGGTGAGCAATTAATTTTCTTAATATGGTAAAGAGGGAGGTACAATTAAATGTCATTTTATTTATTTTTAATTATTAATCATTTTTTCTCCTTGGGTAAATAATTAGTTGGATGAAAAGGTAGAAAAGGCAGCGCGTAGATCTCATAAAGAACGTGTGGCAGAACTAAATAGAAAATTAGAAGAAATGACCGAACATTATGATATCCCAAAGGTAACTAATTCTTTGTGTAATATAATAATAAGAAATTATATATTTTATATATATAAATATGTTTATTTTATTTTAATTTTTTTTTTTTTTTTTTTTTTTTAGGTTGGACCTGGCTAAGGATTGTGTGTACACACGCCGTCGCTAAATATGGTTGGTTTTTTTTTTCTTTCAACCAAATTAAATTTTATTGACATAATTATAAGTTCATTCATTTTATTCAGTGCATATTAATTTATTGGTTATAAATATTTTTATTAATGAATAAATAAATAGGTTAGCTTTATTATTCTTCAGGTAATTTATCACCTTCAATTATAACATCATATTTCTTTCCTCTTATTCCAAAAATCCCCCAATTCGTCCAAACACCGACTCTAACATCTTTTAAATCAATATCTCTTTTCATGCTTTTAAATACGTTTTCACCAGGTCTTAATAGCCAATCCAATTCATATTCACCCTTTTCACCTTTTTCTTCTATAGCACTTACTTCACTATGTAAATCTTCTTGATCAAATCCGGTAATAAATATAGCACATTTGGTTTGTAATAATTTAATTATTGTGTCATGCCATGTGTTTGTTTGTGAAATTCCTGGAGAAAAGAGAAAGAATACATCTGTATATGGATCAAATGGTGTTAATGAATCGTGATAATCATGATAAAATGATGTTGTCCATGTAAATGAAAGTTGTGGTGTATAATTTGAATGCGTGGGGAATTTTTTATTGTTACCGGGTATTGATTCGGGTCCAATGAAATAAATATGAAAATAAGTGAAAGGGAATAAGTAGGATAATTGAGAATAAATATGAAGAGGTAATAGAGATTCCGCTCGTGCTCCCAACACAAAAATTCGAATAATTTCAGTTGGTTTTTGGGTTTTAATATCATGAGAAATAATCTTGGGATATATTATAGTTCTTAAAGCAGTTAAAGATTTTAAACCTTCATCGGTTAACCGATTTTTAATATTATAAGGACCATATTCATGTAATATTGATGCTATCGTAATAGGATATGTTAATAATTTTGACACATGTCTAACAGATCTATCATTATCCATACTAGGAAATCCACGTGTATAAAAAAATAAATCCCAATTTAACATATTAACTTGTTCATCAAGTGGTTGTGATGATGGAAAGTCGAATTCAATCATTGTTCTACCACTTCTTAAATCATGTTCATCTTCATTAGCTTGTCTTAACATTGAACAAGTTCCTGAATTTTTATGTTGTTCTTTATCTTGAAGATAATGTTCTAACGAACAATGTGTTGGATATCCACAATCTGGACATTCATATTTTGGTTTATTTTTTACTTCATTATCTTGAGATAAACATACCGGACAAGAACCGTATACGCATATTTGTTTATAACGATGTCGAAGATCTTCAAATGGAGATTCTGATAAGGAATGGAAAAGATTATCCTGGGAAAGGATTGGTTTTGTAATTGATATTGGTTTAAGCGTAGAATTTTGACGAGAAAATATGGATTTTAGTGAAATATATGTGCGAATATTTAAACGTGTATTAAAATTATTTCGAACCAAAAAATTATGTCTAACTATCATTGAACTATTTAAGAAAATTTTATTTAATCGATTTAATCGAGAAATGTTTAAAACGCGACATTTAAAAAAGGACATTTCGGGAGAATTTCTTTCAGATTTCTTTTTTTTTTTTAACTATATATCAAAAATCAGTCGGCACGTGATTCTAGGATGATTGTCGTACCGTAATTTGACATTTATTATTAGGCTAAAAAATGTCATTTTTTATAGAACATTTTATTTTTATTTTATTTATTTTTCTTAATAATGCTAATTTTTACTAGTTCCACTTTACTTAATATTAATAAGACGAATGGGGTTTATTAATAGTATGGATATAAGTTCAAGGTTTACTGATCCAAATGTGCTCAAGATAATTAGTAAAATACCAGAATCAGATCTTGAAGATATCGGAATGCGTGTTGAACGTGTTAACCAAAATATCAAGAATATTTTGGTCACGGGCGGTGCTGGTTTCATGTAACTATATTATTCATTATATCCATTTGTAATTGTAATTTGTTCTTTATTCCAACAAATCGAATTAAATTTAATTTATTGATAGTGGATCTGTTTTGGCCCGTAAATTGGTTTTATTATATCCGGAATTTAATGTTACGGTAGTCGATAAACTAGAATATTGTGCCAGTTTAAATAATCTTTTAATGATTGAGAATATGCCAAATTATTCGTTTAAAGAGGTAAAATATAAACCCCAATTGTTTATTATCTTTAAGCAAAAACTTTAACGTTTCCCTGTTTGAATAGGGTGACATAGCTTCGTTTGATCTTGTAACATCTATATTAAAAGAAAAAAGAATAGATACAATATATCATTTAGCAGCACATACACATGTAGATAATTCATTTGGTAATTCATTTGAATTTATCCAAAACAATGTTGTAGGAACACATGTATTATTAGAAGCAGCGAAAATGCATAATATTAACCGATTTATACATGTTAGTACTGATGAAGTGTATGGTGAAGTAGCAAAAACAGTTCCCGACTGTCGCGAAGAATCAATATTAACTCCTACAAATCCTTATTCTGCTACAAAAGCTGCAGCCGAACATTTGGTTCAAGCTTATCATAAATCTTTTGGTTTACCGATTATTATTACTAGAAGCAGTAATATTTATGGACCATATCAATACCCCGAAAAAATTTGTCCAAAATTCATTTGTAGTCTTATAAATGATGGCAAGTGGTAGGTAGGATTTTATCAGAGCATTTATTTTTTTTTTTTCTGTTTTATTTTTTATTTTATTTTTTTTTAACTCAAATTATCCATCCTTTCCGGAATTAAGTTTCATACATGGAGATGGATCAAATTCTCGCAAATATTTGTACGTAGGAGATTTAGTTGATGCATTAGATTTAATATTAAATTTAGGTAAAATTGGAGAAGTTTATAATATCGGATCAGATTTTGAAATATCAAATTTAGACTTAGCTAAGACATTATTAAAGCAATTTAACATTAATGATGAAAAAGAACAAGAAAAACATTTAGAATTTGTAAAAGACCGACCTTTTAATGATCTCAGATATGCTGTTGACGATACTAAATTAAAAAAAGAATTAGGCTGGAAACCTAAAATTAGTTGGAATTATGGAATAATAAAGACAAGTAAGTTGAGATATTTATATTCTTTCAAAGGTAGTAAAAATTTTTAACATTTATTTTCCTTTTGTGCGTGGGTTTATTTAGTTGCTTGGTATAAAGAAAATTGTGATAAATGGTGGGGCGATATATCTGGTGCTTTAGTACCACATCCATATCCACTTAAATCACGTTTATAAAATACAATAGATAATTGTGCTCAAATAATCATTTTTTGTACTTATAATATTATTTACTAGGGTAAAATTTACCCCTGATAAAAGTTTTTAACTGTGCATGACATCATGCAGATCAATAAAAATAATTTAAAATATTATATCGATTTTTTTTTTTTATTTTTATTTCAATTTTTTTTTTTTTATTCAACGAAAAAGTTCTCGAAAATGAATGCACCAGATCGGTTTGATGTATTTTATTTGCCTCCGGGCTCACAAAAGTTCGTAATCAATCCGTAATTTGCAAGTTGTCCAAGAATAACTACATTATTTTGATAGATCTCTATCAAATTATTCATAGTGTTCATAGAAACTTTTCAATCTTTAAACTTGATAGAACTGATCAATTACTCAATTTTTGGTTCTGGAGTAAAAAATTTATAGATAGGCATCATAAAAGATTTCTGTTTAATAATTGACACTTTAAATAATCATATACTTCATAGGATGAAGATTACACCAGATACAAAAGTGCAAAATGCGGCGACTTTTGAGATATTTAGAGAAGATCATACTATGGGAAACGTAATTAGACAGTAAGTCAGTGTTTTATATCAACTCTATTTTTATCATATAATTAACTGGTTTACTTTCTTTTTCTTTCTGATAGCAAATTGTTACAAGAGCCCCAAGTTATTTTTGCTGGTTATAAAATTCCACACCCATTAGAACATAATGTGATCATAAGAGTTCAAACAACCAATGAAACAAAACCTGAAGCTATGGTAGCGAAAGCTTTGAATGATTTAATTACGGAAGTTGGTTACCTTAGAACAAAATTCATGGTACATAAATAAATTCTGAGTTATTTAATATTTTATATCGAAAATTTATCTTATAAATTATTAATTGATTAAACAGGAAGATTTGGGTCGTGCAAGAGCCTTGGTAATACCTAGAGAACAAAAATCAATGGTCGAACAAGAACCACAAGTTGTGCAAGGTATTCAACAACCTACTCGGGAACCTGTTAATACATCAGTTGGGGGTACTGGCGGTGTTGGTGTGGATATGGATTTCTAAAGTCATAATAAAGTTAAGTCCGTAAATTTACTACAAATTTACTGCATGTTATACTACACGTACCAATCAAAGATTTTATTATATATTGGCTGAACACTGGTTTTTTAATTAAAATTTAGAAGAATATTAATGGTATAATATTAAAGTATATAATTATTTATTACTCATTTTTTGTTTTAATAAAGTAATAATAACAAGAATTAATGTTTCTGGAGTGTATGATATATCTATGAACGTATAAAACCATCACGTGAAAGTATATGGACCAATTAGAAATTAGGTTATAAAAATAACTTTGCTGCGGTAGTTGATAAATTTTTTGTATATCTTGGACGCGTTATCATAATGCCATCACAAGAAGAAAAAGAGATACTTACCTTTAATACTGTAAGAGCTCTTAGGTCGATACTTCGTTTTTAAACGTTTTAAAATTTCTTATTCGTATATATTTGTAATTTAGAAAGTATTGCACGATATTTTCAAAACTTCTTGGAAGAACCCAAAGACAAAAGGTCCGTTTGTAACGTTATTTGTTGATTAATTAATACCATAAGAAATAATCCTTTCATAATTTTTAGTGGGAAAAGAAGCATTGATCCTTTCAGCTGAATATTTACGTATTTTTACTACCCGTAAGTTAACAACACTAATTTATTTTTTATATCGATAATTATGCTCATGTTTGTATTTACGGTAGAAGCTATTATACGTGCAACTAATGAAGCTATGAATGAAGCTGGGGGTGGATCCTTGATAAAATTAGAAGTTGCACACTTAGAAAAGGTAGTTATCACATCTTATATATACTGTATACAGTTGGTTTCGCTTTGTAATGAATTTCTATTATTAATACGATATAAGGAGGTTGGGCTATTAAAAATATGTGAGACTTTTGATGTACTGTAAAAATGATATCGGTCTTTGACCGATAAGGACCGAGGAAAACCGATATTGAAACGCCCATTAATTAATTATCTATATATACAATATGGTACACAAAATTCATTATAAGCGAACAACCAACGGTTTTTTCATGATACATGTCAAAATTGCCACGTTTTTGTCTTTAGTTTTATCATTGGCTATAAGTATCTGTTATGTCAATCATTCTCATCGACATTTTTATTTGTATCCCTTTTATAATAGGTTATTCCCCAACTTTCAAGAGATTTTTGATTTTGATTAACTAGATGATGATTTTTGATATCTTTCTATTTATCTTATAAATATAAGATAATGCATTAAAATAATACATCTTTGTGAGAATGGAAGATTGTTACTTGTTAAAAAAAAAACCCTGCGTGATTTTGGGGGTTTTGATTGTCATTTATATTTTGAGTCTTTGTTTAAATTTTATGTCTTCAAACTTAAAATAATTTTCCCTGCTTCATGCACCTATATATTTTAAACAAGTTCTGTACAATAAAATACGTAATCATCATATTTTTCCGAATTTATTATATCATCGCAAGTGTTTTTTTGGGACACAAAAATTTCATATGTGATATTTAACATGTGATAATTATTTTAAGATATATCATTTATAGTATTGTTGGCATGGAGATATGTTATATGGATAATTTCTCACAACATACAATCGATTCTTTAGCATTAATAATTTCAATATTTTATTATTTATAAATTTTACTGTATATATTTTTTACATGCGAAATAAAATGAACTATGTTATGCTTTTATTTTCACGACATAGTAATTAGCTGAATAATTTCCCCCAGTATTCTATGTGTAAAGAAGGTAAAAGAATAATAAAATAAACATATGTTTAATTATTATTATAAAAATTCAAAAGTAACAGGTAATAATATCGTGTGTCAGTATATATAAGGACCATTAACTAAGAACGTTCACCACGAAGACGGCGGGCTAATTGAATATCCTTTGGTTGTATGGTAACGCGTTTAGCTGTAAATGATAATCAAATCATAAATATTTAAAAATTGTTAAGAATAAGATACTTCCATTCATATAATTAACATTACCATGAATTGCTGCAAGATTTGTATCTTCAAAAAGACTATTGATAATCATAAAAAATTTAGTTATTAAATTAATTAAATAAATAAAATAAGAAATGAATTTAATTACCTCACTAGATATGCTTCGGCGGCCTATTATATTTTAATATGAACAATTAAATATTTAATAATGAATTTAATTAACAGTTAAGTCGAAATAAACCATACCTCTTGAAGTGCACCAATAGCACTGGATTGAAAACGTAGATCCGTTTTAAAGTCTTGGGCGATTTCACGAACAAGTCGTTGGAAAGGTAACTTGCGGATCAAAAGTTCAGTAGACTTTTGATAACGTCGAATTTCACGTAAAGCTACAGTACCAGGTCTATAACGATGAGGTTTCTTAACACCACCTGTAGCTGGGGCTGATTTTCGAGCAGCTTTTGTTGCAAGTTGTTTCCTGGGAGCTTTTCCTCCAGTACTTTTACGAGCAGTTTGCTATTAAAATTTAAAATTTTGGAAGTTCCTTGGTCGTCATTACCTAACGTCGCTTGAAAGAATAGACAAAAGAAACATTTAATAAGTTTAGTACCTTAGTACGAGCCATATCCTTAGGTTTAATGTGCTAAAAATGAGAAATATGTTGTGTCTGTTAAAAAATTTTTTTTCAAGGAAAAAAAAAAGGAAAATTCGGGGTATATGTGAAAATTTTGTGGAAAAAGGCAATAATTTATATCACACAAAAAGCCAAAATAAGTATATAGATAATATAAAAAAACTTCCGAATTACAATTTGCCGGTAAAAGGCGGGATAAAATTGAACTATTATAAACATGGTAAAGTACAAAAATAAGTAATACGAATTACTTATATCGGTCACAAACATAATCATCAGTTAAATTATTTTAAGATTCCAAATATATAATTCCAATATTCTTTTTTTTTCACATTCAGAATTGTCATTCCATCTCTTAAATAATAAAGAATATTTCGCTCTTTTCTTATATAGTTTAAAAATTTTTTTATTTAATAAGTAAAATATATTATTTGAAATTGAAATAAAGGGGGAAAATAAGTGAAAATGTGGGCTTGTCTTAACAAGACATGTCCTTGCCTTCCTATTCGAGGAGATTCAAAACCTCCATTTAGTCACTACTCTTATGACGATGATGATAACTTCGAGTTCGAAAGCTTGTTAGCAGGGCAAGATTCAGAATCTATTGGTGCATTTCTTACACGTGCACCATTTGCTAATTCACAAGGTTATCGAAGAGTAACCAATATGGTAACACCTAATGAAGAAGCCTCTGCTTCAACAGGACGTGTTAGTAATTTATTGGACGACGAAGATAATTTACAAACTCAGGATGCACAGTTTTTACCTGATGAACAAATTAGTAAATTCACGGAATTAATTAGTGGACAGGTAAAAGAAAAGTATTTTTTAAAATTAATTAATAACGATTAACTTTCTATTATTATTATTATTTATATACATTGACATTGTATATTTAATTAATATATGATCACTTAATTAAAAATACAAGACTGAATTTATTTTTTTATTTATTTATATAGGTAAAAGACGATCAAGGGATTGATGAGCAGCTAATCGCAGAAGAAGAGGAAGCAAGACGTTTAGAGGAGGAAGATATTATAAGAAAACGTCAGGCAGCCACAGAAGCAGCGCTTGCTAAAGGCTTGATAACACCGGATCAAGCTGCAGCCAATAATAAAGATGCTTTTTTCACCATTGATGATGACGACGATGGGGATGATGGACAAATAACCGATTCATCTAGAACTATATACTCTATGAATGAATCTATTGACGAAGAACAAAATATTTCACTAAATAAACCTCGTAATCCACATGAGAGGTTTATAGCAAGCGAAATACATGAAGAAGATTATGATGAAGTAACGGATTTTGAAGAAGATTTGTGAGTATTTGATTATTGTATACGTTTTGATATTATATTACCGATCAAATGAAAAAAATTCGAAAATATGACTGTCATGACGTATATAAATATATATATAAAACGTAATAATAAAAAATACTGACTTATAGGCCGCCCACCACTTCCAAAGATCAAACTACGGCCGAAGACCTTCTAGTTTACTCGGCCGCCGCTATTCAAGACGAAGTATATTAAGAGACAATGAATCAAAGATGGAAGACTATTCACCATTTTCCGTAAGCATTCTACGATCCGACGATTATGAAACAAGTCACGAAGATTATAGTCCGACCGTGGGAGATGAAGAAATTGATCATCCTTTCGCTAATATTTTACCTGACTTCTCGGAGAAATTAGGTTCTCTTTTCAATGGACTGACAAATTCGATGATAAAAGGAAAAAATAAATTAATAAATAATGAGGGTAACAGAGAAATTAATAATAATAATAATAATCAAGAAATAAATAATCTTAATGATTTAGACACAAATAACGGCAAAAATAACAGAAAGAAAATGGTTACTTTCACTGTCGAACCTGAAAGTAGCATAGAACCATCTTCTCCAATTTCATATAGCTTTGCTTTTGGTGGCGGTAATAGTATTAGTGGACGTAGAGGTCTTCGTAAATTGGTTAGTGGGTTATCGAATTCTTCCAGATCATCATTAATTGAAGTCAATGAGTAAGTAATAAGAGCAGAAATATAATTATCGAATATAAGCAGTTTTAGTATTATATTTAAATATTTTTTGGGGTTATAAGTTCTCTTCAATTCCTCCTTAAAGCGTATTCTTTATTTGAGCATATATAATTTTCATATTTTACTTTAAAAAAATTTCTCCATTTCTTACCCCAAGGAAATCAAGATTAAATTGATATTAATTTACAATGTAAAATTTAAATCAACATCATTAAGTTTTTATAAATAATTTATCCACATTGACTTCATTATAATTTCACATTATTATTATTTATTATTTTTATTATTCCTTTCATCTTTTCTTTTTTTATATTCCACTCTTTTTATATTTTTCTTCATCTCCTTTCTTTGATCATTTTAAATTAGTTTTCCTCCCCCCTTTAATTATTTATTTAATAGTCTTTTATCTTTATTTCATAATTCAAAATTTTCACATTATTACATATATATTATGATTTTATTGATTTTATTATAAATTGTATTTTTAAACTACTATAAAAAAAATATTATCTAAAAGCAAATAAAACTAGAAATTTTTAAGTTACAAGCACAAAATGATTGCAAATAATAAACCCAAATTTTCTTTAAGGCAGAATCCACTTTGTGATTAAGAATAGTAATAGTGTAATAGAGCATTTTAGAAAACTCATTTTCTGTATGACGAAAATTCTTTATAAATAACTCTTTTTATTGGACGAAAATAAGAGTTGAGAATAAACACCTAAGTGATTACTTGTTGACTAGATATAAATTTAATATACCATTAGTTTATTTTTTTGTATATAATTTAAAAGTTTTACTATATTTTTATATAATTTTCTATTGCTTAGTAATTTAGTAAAGAATGTACATTAAATTAAAAAAAACAAAAATATATATTGGCTATAAAAAAAATTTAAAAATTTTTAATTAATTAATATTAAATTTAATTCTTGTATTTTATTTATAAAGTAATTATATTACAGATTCTAATATATAGTAAAAAAAATAATAGTTTAGTTTAATATTATTCTTATTTTTTTTTTTTTTTTAATAATTTATATATGCTTTATTGATATTAAGTTTATATACCATACTGTCCATACAAATAAATTATCATAAGTTATATCCACCCAGAAAGAAGCAATCATCAAAAAATATTATTCTTATTTAATTTGGTGGTAATGAAATAATTTAATAGTAATGATAAAAGTAATAATATAGTCTAATTATAATTTTATAACTTAATAATATCATAATTTAATAGTGATTTTATAATCTAATTTTATAATCTAATAATGACTTAATAATCTGCTAATATAAACTCTTTATTTTAATTTTTTGGATGTTTTTATGATTCTTTAGTTATTATTTTAGTTAATTTATATTATATTATAATTGTATAACTTAATAGTAACTTTATAATCTAGTAGTAATAATAACTTTATAATCTAATAGTAGTTTTATAATTTAATAATAACAGTCACTGGAAATGTCCCCAAAAATTAAGGGCAAATTTTTTTTAATATATTTGCCAATCTAAAAATTTTAGTGCGGCATTGTCTTCAAATATATAGCATATATATATAGTTAAAAGTTGGCTAAAATTAGTTTTTTCAATTAAAATTGCTGATCAATAAATCATAATTTTGACCAAATTTTTTTTAATTTTGGCCAAATTCGTAATGCCAGCCTAAATTTTGTTAAAATGAAAAAATGCGAATCAAATATAACACCACATTTACATAATATAACGCCTTTAACTTAAATAATAAAGGTAAAACTCCATGACCACTTTTACAATCTTATTGAAAAAAATTTCACAAAAAAAGTCGTTAAAAGGTTGCATCTCTCAGCTTCATTTTACCTATTTTTAGTGATTAAAAGAATGGTAAACTTCAATATCATAATATTATCACCCTTTTCTTTTACCATTTATTGTAAACATGATAGAAGAAAAAAATTTTGACAAAATTAGTGAGTCTGAAAAGGTATATTTACAATATTTATCAAATTTTATAATTTGACTATTTTTAAAAAGTTGTTAATAGTAAAAGTATTTCAATAATTATCCAATTTTAATAAAATTTAATGTACAATCATTTCAAAAGGTTATAAAATAGTATGTAAATTTTGAGGATATGTTATTTATAGAATCATTAAATAAATTTACTGTTACACAAAAATGCAGATCATTTAGTTAATATGTAAAATACTGATTGATATTTTGAAATATTTTATATAATAATATATACTAAAATTTTGCATACTCTTTTATAACCTTTAAAAGTGATCATATATTAAATTTTATTAAAATTGGATGATTATTGAAATACTTTTACTATTAACAACTTTTTAAAATTAGTCAAATTATAAAATTTAATAAATATTGTAAATATATAAAATATTATTTTACTATAATATGTAATTTATAATTAAAATTGTATTTACACAAAAAAATTGGTAATTATTTGTGTAAACTTTGTAAGTTTAATTAAGGTTGCTTGCCAAAATCTAGAGGTTTAGGCAAGATGGCGTTTTGCCGAAAAGTGAAATTCTGCCAAAACTATATTAAAGTTATATTAAAAAACTGGCAAAATTTTGGAGAAAAGCGAAACTGCTAAAACTTATTATAAATGCCAAAACTGCTAAAACTCTGCCAAAACTATAATAAATCTATAGTAAAATTTTGACGAAACTAATCGTAGAATTTTGAAGAGGTTTAGACAAGCAACCTTAAGTTTAATATTAGTTAATTTTTGCAAAAATCATAAATTTTGAATTTACCATAAATTTTATTAAGAAACTTACTTTTTATTTCTTAAGTAACCTAATTCCTCATAAAAAATTACATATATTTATATATTTAAAAATAATACTTATCTTTTACTAATAAGTTGCATCTGGAAGTTAAAATTATAAAAGTTAGCTTAATATAAATTTTTTATATAAGTATTGTATTAATAAAAAAGGTATTTAAATAAGTAAATTAGATCCCAAAAAACAAAAATATATAAAGTTTTTATAATATACAACTTAAAAAAAATTATGTTATATAAATTATAAAAAATCATTATTTATTAATAATTACGAGAGAAATAAAATTTCCACTGGTTGATAACGTTTTTTTTATTTTTAACTTTTTTATTAATAAGAAATTATTTGTATGTTAGCTTTTTTCTGTAACTTTTTTATTATCAAGAAAATAGGTTGAAAAAGTTGATCAGTTTGTATTTTACCTCTATAATCTTTTTATTATTAATTTGTAATTTATATAACAAGTAGTGAAAGTAACTATTCAAATTTGAGAAAAATAAAAAAAAATCATTTTTTGTGATTTTCTTGTGATTCAGTAATTCATATTTTTTATTATGTATTCTTCACGCTCTCTACAAAATAAAAAAAATTATCAAAATTGGACTAATGGATCATAAAATAATACAAAAATGATTTTTTTCAGAACATGGCTAGATTTCTCATAATATTTTCTGAAAAATTAGGTTTGTAATTATTTCATAATCCATTGATCCAATTTTAATAATCTTTTTTTTATTTGCAGAGAGTGTGAAGAGTTACATGTAAGGTTGCTGGGCGAAACTAAGTAGTTTAGACAATTGTTGAAATTGAAACTAGTTGAAACATTTTATTAAAAAATTAAAAATTTGCGAAACTGCGAAACAGGACCCCGCTTACTTCTAATAAAGGTCTCCGGGCAAAATTTCAGATTTACTAGTAATTTTACCAACCTTTCTTATCTCATAATTTTACCATATATATATAGTGACCTTTTAAAATTATATTAAATTTTACCTTAGATTTTCAGAGACCTAAATTTTTTTAAATATTAAATAAACAAAATATTTTATAATCATTACAATAAATTTTAAAAATTTTTTATTTTTACTAAGTTTAATTCTTATTCTTTAAAGATAAATAACTTTTATTAGTAAAAAAAGTACTTTGAATTACAAAAATACTATAAAAAAAATCTTAAAGACACACATCTTTAACTT